TTATAGAATATATTTTCCTCCTTTGGACGAAAGGGTCATGCTGACACATATGTTGAAAGATGCAAAGATAGAGTTTTTCTCCAAAATATTGTATATAAGAAAGGACAACACTAGGAGTAGAATAAAAGCTGAGGGTGACAGAGGACGGGGCAAGGGGGCGTGTGCTGGAAGGACACAGAAACAGGTCTCAAGCCATATCTCAGTTACCATCACATTGTTTAACTTTAAGCATAAAACCCTATTAAAAAATGTTGCTTTTAGTTATGTATTTGTTAAAGATTATAAATGTTACCGAAAGAACGTACAACTCCAGAACGAAATATGAAAGAAAAGCTGCCTGGCTCAAAAACGATGTCTTGACCATGGTATTTTTTATAGTTTTCAAATACATCCACAATAATATAAAAAAGTCTGTATGAAAATTGCCATGACACTTATGTGTCTATATTTCAAACCTTTGTACCTACAATTGCATTTCTCTTAATAATATGCCCACTCATTAGTACCCTAACAGAACAAAGCAGAAATCATGACAAGATGCTGGTCACAGTGACTATCCCACTACTAAGATGACAGTGTAGTAGGCACGATAGGTTTACTCAATATGTTTAGGTCCTGGGCCAATGGTCTCCTGCTGGTTTACTAGCAGCAATTTTCTTTTTTAACTTAGCAATACATCAGTTTTCAGTATTTTTTTTTCCTGCTTTCTCACCTATTATTATGTCACAAGCAACTAACATGCCATTTCCTCTTTCCTCTGACAGGGTTCTTTTCAATAGAGTCAAAGGTGTCTCACAGCTGCCATTGATTTCCCATCTGTCCAAGTCACCACAAAGACTACGACCCAGCGCTCACGCTGTGCTGTCCTTCCTGAGGGCTGTGTCTGTTGTGTTGCTGCTGGGGAAGCCCTTGGCCATGGTTATGTGACCCCTTCTATAGAGCTACGCACTAATTTAACTGAAAGAACTGAGAGAAAATACAGCAAAGGAGCCCTTCCGTTATTCAGAAAGCTTCAGCAAGCCAAAGAATAAAATATGTCATCACTCAAAAACAGCAAAAAATATACACTAATGGGAGAGAAATCACCAGGAAGCAGCTGATGCTAATCTCTCACGTTCTGCCTCTGTCTCTCTATTTAGATGAATTATAACCAAGAACACTGAGATAGCTTTGATTTTAAGGAAACAGTAATGAAATAATATCTAAATAATAAAGATAGAGGAAAAGACAATCTTTTAATTTGTGCTATGTCATGGAATTACAAAAGTGAAATCTGACTTTGTCCATATTTTTGAATCATCAAAATGAGGAAGAATTTCCAAGATAGCATAAAAATTCCAGATTTTTATGTTACAAAAAGAAATGCTGAATATATTCTATAATGCCTTGGGGATTGACCTCAGTTCTGTGAAATCTGATTCCTGATAAAGCAGTAGGCACCTGTCCTTGCCCCTGACTTGCTTCAGGGCTGAGGCTTCATAATAACAAGCCTCTTCTGGATTCTGGTGCAAGGTGGCCATATGAAATAAAGTATTTAACACATCTGTAATGCCTTTCATGTTCATAGCTCAAAGAGCTTTATAAAACCCAATTAATTCATCGAGCGTCATAAACTTTGAAGAACCTGCATAACTACAGTTCTACATGTGGTTAATCATGAGCGGCAAGCAGTCAGATGTGTGGCTTAACAGAATCCAGATTTTAACTGTCCAGGTTTTGAATTTTCATGTACCTAGGGAAAGGCAGGGGCATAATGGAGAACCTCTGAGTCATTGGCAAATTCTAGGAATTGTGAGTTGGGTTAAGAATGCTCACAGAAAAGGATAATTTCATTGCCAACACCCAAAAGAACTCTGGCTCTCTCTACGTGGGCAAAAGGAGAGTTTAGATCCAAGTAAGAGAGGGCTCTCCCCATCTTCATGCTTTGGTTGGAAGTGCAAAATCATTTGGTAGAAATCTTTGTGTGGCATGCCAAATGGAATCTGTAGAATTCACAGTAAGAAAAGATAGTTTAGATATTTTTTTAAAATAGCTATGTTTAATATATTTTAAAAGGCTAACTAAACACTAAACCAGTGCCTAGTGCATAACCCATTCCCCAGGTGAAGTGCAACACTTTGAGAAGCTTGTAACCTTTTTCAAGTTCATATTAAGACAAAACTGTCCTGCTTGGAATAACTTGCTTACTGGGGAAACCTGGATTGCTAGTTATGGAAGAGTGCAAAAATCTTTGTGAATAAAGCAGATAGTTTTTCAACAAAAAACTGCACTGTCAAAAACATTGTGGGCAGAGGCACAAATGTTACGAGTCCGAAGAATTTGTTCCCGAACATAGGTTTTCCATCGGTGAACATGATCAATGAAAAGCTATAGGATGATGGAGACATCACAAGTGTCAACCTCAGGTAATATAAACTTATACCTTATTTGCCCAAGTAGCTAGGCGACATTTACAAGTCATCCCACTTCTCTAAGCCTCGGTTTCCTCATACGTAAATGAGAATAATAACACTTGTTCTCACAGAGTTGGTGAGAATACCAAATGAAAAAAGTCTATAAAATGCCTATTAGGTTTCCAATAAATCATAGAAAGTACTTTTTTTAATCATTTCTTCCATATCCCCCCAAAATCCCAATTGCACTGAACCTTTTTAGGGCCCACAAAGAATATTCTTATGTGGGGGCAATATTGGACATCCCCCATTCCCTGGTGACAGAGCCTTGCAATAAATGAACACTATGTATGAGGGGAAAAAAGAAACAGTTAATAAGGGAAGTAGGGTCAAGGACCATTGGTCCCTACCCATTCTAGTCCTTACTCCCAGGGCAGTAGTAAAAAGTCACACTCTTCATTATTGCTAGCAGTTTTTCTTTAATGAGTAGAAGCTCTAGGAAGCATATTTGAGTTCAAATTAAAGACCATCAAAATGATTATAGCTCTCTGACAATAGGACAAGTGTTTTGGTAAATAGTAGATCTTTAGTACTGGAGGTGAGATTTTCCTATCACTGGAGGTATTCAAGCAAATGGTGAATATAATATATCTTTAATAATATTTAAACTTATAAATGCACTATACTTTTATATGAATTTCTTTTATCAAATCCTTAAAATAAATCTCTGAATTTGATATTTGTATCGCCTATTTTACAGATTAGGCCAACAGTAGTTAACTAATTGGACCAAATATTGGTGGATGACCAGCTCTGGGGATATTATAGAGTGATAGCATAGGTAGAACATGACATGAATCAGTCATTTAATTTTTGTACCAACTCTATATATGACCGATACTATGCAGGATACATGGCAAGACAACAACCAGGAGAGCCCATTCAATCCCAGAATTCTACCATTCCAATTTCTATAATCATGATCTTTTCTCAAAAAGACTTAGTCTGACTTGAGAACTCCTATATCTGAGATAGTACTATTATTGCTTCTTTCTAGTTTTACTGATACCAAGGCAATAACAGAAAAGATAGAACACCAGTTAAAAATCTCCTTTGCTAGGCTGAATTTATTGATGCTTACTACGTGCCAGGCAAAACGCTAAGTACACAACATACATCTGTCACTTAGAGTTCTCACAACAACCCTGTAGGATTAGTACTGTTATTGTTGTTATCTTGCATACCAAGAAACTGAGGCACAGAGAAGTGGAATAGCTTTCTGAAGGTCACACAATTAGTAAGCTGAGAATCAAAACCAGATGTATTTAACTCCAGAACGTGTAATCTTAATGACTATGCTAGATGGTATTGTATATAGTGCTGTAACTCATTTTAAGTAAGATAAATTTTAGGATTATAATGACAGAAGTCTCAACCGAGGATGTGTATGTGAATGCATACTGTTGGCAAAGAATAATGAGCAAATTCAAAATCAGCACTTTCATATACATTTTATCGGAGGCTACTACTATATTGTTTATTTAACTAAAGGTTCATCGTTTGCATTGTTTAGAATTATTAGCACATGCCATATTAATAATAAATACATAATAATGCCATTCTGAAACGTTTTAAATATTCTAAGACTGGAATGGAAGAAATTTTTAAAAATTTTCTTTGAAGCTCATTGGCTCACAGGAAAAGCAAAAGTGGGCTAAGAATTTAATCGTCTCATCCCAACCTCAATTAGAAATGGGAAGCACCCAGATTATTTGTTGTGAAAATAATTTGAAAGTCAGACGACAGCATACTTTTATCTATAATGTTTAATTTTATATATTATAATTTAGTTATTTCTTATAGATATTAACAAAGAGGGCTAGAGAGAGAAGGAAAACAGAAAAGGCATTTCAGACATCAGGAGAGGAGACAGACAGATGCAGATAAACCAGAGGAAAAACTGAGTGAAACATCAGTGAACAAGGCACTAAAAATACACACATCCACACCACAAAGACATACATCCTTAGAGAAGAGGCAGAAAGATGATACTTCATAGGGATACAGTAAATGATTCATTAATGAGGAAGCAAACCCAGGACACAGAGTTTCCTTATTTCATACCCCCATTTTGTGGCTTTCTAGTCTTTCAAAGTTATGATGTGCTTTCACTATTCCCAGCACAATCTACTGACATCTAGCAGTAGAATGACCAGAGGAAATTAAAGAGAGGTTCATTTTCATTCAAAATGAACACAATTGGGTCACTATCATAAATGATCAAGTAAATTTATAAAACTATTGTAAATGATCAGTTGGAACTACTTATTTAAATAAGTAACTAGCCTTCAAATCGGATACTAAACAGAATTATAACTCAATTTTAATAATTGCCCCGTTTTCCACCACAGAAAATTTTTGTCGTTGGATCTCCATCGATCTCATGAACATGCATTTTCAAGTTTAAATTCACATCATAAAGACGCAAAGACAATATATTTGTGTACTTCAAAACCATTCAAATTTTTTGCTCTTCTACATAAACCAGACAAAATTAACTGTATTTCCTATAACTAGTGTACACCAGACCCCAAGCCTGCTCAGTACCTGTTGTCTATCCAGACGCATCCTCTTGGCAGCATTTCTACTCTCACTCTCACAGGCTGAAGCCAAGATACTCTCTGCAACTGCTGAAGTAAGGTGAGAAGGAATAGGTCGAGACTAAAAAAAAAGAGAGAGAAAAAATATGAAAAAATTATTAACAGTATCGCTAACAGACCAATGCTATTCTCAGAAGAGCTCACAGGATGTGCAGGAGTATCCATTTATTTCAACTGAACTCATTTCAATAAAAAGAGGAAATGGAAATTGCAAAGATGAAAAATGAAACTAGTTAGAGGTTAAAGCTATAGCGGCTACACGGATCCATCATTCATTCTCATAGCTCCATTGTCACAAGTATTTAGTCTGGCCCATTAAGCTGGAGTTCGAACAGGCAGTGGCAAAATTGCTGACTAGGTTTTGCAAATAAAACAAATCCTTTAATTCTCTTATAACACATGACGATGCACAGCAAAACAAAACAAAAACAAGTGACAAGGCTGAAACATAGTTGGAAAAACTGACAGACATTCAGACCATGTCAAATAATCTTGATATGAAATATATGAATATTTAAAGTCTAAGTTGTGACACAATTGATGTGATTAAAATCCTTTAAAAATACTTTAGTTTAAATGCAAACTAAAAAGTCAGTCCTAGAACAATTCTGATATAACAAAAATTTGATGTTTTAGATGTGAAACATGTGTGTGCCTACGTTTTATTTACAAATGTGTTAATATTACTAATTTAATAGGTACATGTTGAAAATCCATCTCCTATGTAGCCCACATAGAAATTAATTAACCCCCCAACTAAGCTCCTAATTAACTACAAATTGTTTGCAGCTGTCCATATCATTTGTGATAATCAGAAAAGTTTTCCATTCTCTTTTCCCATAATTATATGCAAAATCATCTAACTGAAAGATGAAGTACTTAATGATATTGAACAGTTTTTTAATTAAGATAAACAAATGATAGATAAGAAATAACATGAAAATTAAACCAGTCGAGATAGCAAAATATGAAATTATGAAATAAAATATCTTTTGGGAATCTAGCATACATAGTGGCATGCCACCTCAGGGTTTTCAAAGCCCCAATCTAAAATATGTGGGGATGCCATTTATTAGAAGCCTCTGAACTAATAGAAGTCTGATTTTTTTTACTTTTATAAATGAATATGAGTATGCCTTGATAGCACTTGATTAATTTTGCTAACTCTGGCATGTAAAACGTGCTTTAACAAATTGAAGCATAGGGTTTATGTCTCAATATTCTAGAGTAGCCAAATTCAATGTTTTAACGGACACTCTTCAGTGGAATTTGTGTGGTGTAGAAAGAGACCAGACTCTGACCTTGCTTGAACTAGAAAGCAATTTCTGTGACTGCCTCAGCAGCCTTCCTGATGCTTCCACCTGCAAAGTACCCTCTGTAGGCAAAGGGAAAAAGGTATAGGGTACAGGCTCCACCTGCTAGCCCAGTGAGATGTCTGAAATGATGGCTAGACAACTTTGACAATAAAGCATTAGAATGTCTGGAACGCTATTTCTGCACAAGAAAGAGAAGAGAATAGCCCCTGAGGTAGCAGGGAAAATGCAGCAGAAGAGTTTTGAGAAAGAAATTAGAAAGCCAGGACTGTGTACTGAGAAGAGGGTCAAAGAAGGGAAATCGAAAAAACGGAAAAAGTATCATAAAGACATAAATATAATTTCAAAACTCATATTGCTTCTCTAAGTTTCATTCTGTATTTCAGAGAAATACAATATGGATAAGAGTCTAGCCAAGAACCAAAAATATATTAATCTACAAAATCAGTGTCTTATTAAAAGATGGCTACTTCACGGCTCAAAATTATCATCTAAACCACATGTAAATTAGGTAAACATGATGTCCTTCTCAACTGAATTATGTTTTTAGGCAAAGGTGTTATAGGAATAATGGGAATAAGAACATTCTATTACGAAAAAAGAAAATATTTATTTGATTGTTGCTGGCATTGTTCAAATAGAAGTAAGAGATCACACACCTTTATTAACTTTATTATTAGACCCTTTGGTTCTAGGAACTGAATTAACAGAGTTTCAATAAAACATCAACAGCTTCCCTTTCTTGATCCAATTATTGATGGCCACATGAAATTCAGAGAGATGTAATTCTGTTCTTCATTAACTTTATTTTTCTCTCTTTATCAAATATCTCCATTCAAAAGTAAGCATATGTAATTTTGGAATTGTGTATATAAAAATATAATATGGAATTTTTATGAAACTGATTAAATTACAGTAATAAACACACAAGTTCCTTCAACACAGAAAAGTATGCTGAAGAGAGAACAAAAGCTAAAATAGGCCTTCAATTTAAATTAGTTAGTAGCATTTCCTTTCAAATTCCTTCTTAATTTTTAAAAACAAAGTGGGAAATGATTTTTACTAGAACAGTAAAAGTTGCTATGCATGATAATTGATATAATTTTCTTTTCAGAGAAAATGATAGAGAGAGTTGGGTCTTACCCAGATATATTAAATTGCCCTTCTCAGAAACTAGAATAATGTCCTGGCTGAGGGGGCTGGATATTTTTTAAGTGACTGGATAACCTAATATTTCAAGATTTTGGAAAAAAATCAACTTCAAAATCCAGCAATCATGCACTGTTTCCTATTAAGTAGGAAAAATAAAAAGAAGCAAAGATATATGGTTCAACATTGCCAGAAGTTAAATAATATAATTTTGAAAATAGTGTTGTTCTGAGTTTATTGTAGAATCATAATTTGGTAACCATAAATGGCCATAGAAATAATTCAGTACAAATTTCTTCTCTACAGTTTGAAGGAACTGTAACCCAGATAGATTAATTAATTTGCCAAAGGACAAACTGAGCTCAATATAGAACCCAGGGTTCATGTCTCCTCATTCTCAACTCTTTTACTCTCCCAAGTTCTGTTGTACACTAAGTAGTTTTACATAATTTATCATTAATGTAAAATAGTCTAGAAAAAAATCCTTACATACAAACTATTGTGCTCAACTCAAAAACAAGCAGATTAAAGATAGCCCTTTATATGTATGTATTACAATCATAATAATGGATTCTAGCTCATTGGAGAGAAGGGCAGAATGAATTAATAAAATCTATATTACAGGTTAAAAAGTATATATGTATTTTCCAGAAAGTTACTATATCTCACATATATAATGAAATATATACTTCCAAGTAGAAAACCAGTACCATCCTAATTTGATTTTATGATAAATATTAATACTACCTAACTTATATTGAGTGCAAAGGATGTGCAGGCATTAATTCAAAAAGGTTAGAATCATTATCTAATTTAGTCTTCCAAACAACCCTTGAGAAAGGTACTTATATTACTCAGATTTTAGAGAAAAATAAATTGAAGTTCTGAGACATTAAATAACCTGCCCCAAATCACACAGCTATGTATGTGGAAACACCTGGATTCAAATCGAAGTCTGACGATAAACCAGGAATAATAATCCCTAGTAAAGATTTATTCTTATTTTACAACCAAGGCCTCAGTGAGCTCAAACAGAGCTAGAGCTCTTAAATACTACCCATTCTTGCAGAGGAATCCATAGACAGCTAACTCCATTTTGCATTTGAGCAAAGAATATATTAGGATCTCCCTAAAATTCTTCTCTTAAAGTGATTGAAATTCTCCTAATATATTTTTCTATTAATTCTTTAAAACTGTTTTTCATTAATAGCACAAAGATAAAATGTATGATATCTAAGTTCTGTCACATGTTCTAAACTGATGCAATCTAAATTCACAAGACTTTTCTGTTGGAGCAACCAGAAGTGCCAAGAAATTACTGTACATGAAACATGAGAAAGCTTAGTTTCATGCCCAAAAAGAAAAGGTGCCAAGTGGAGAGGTTCCTTCTCTCCTGTGAGGCAATTCTCCCACAGATCCTCTTGGTTCTGATATTGATGAGCCAATAACAAATGTCAATGCTCCTCAATACACACAGAGCTCAATTATGCTGCGTTTGGTTATAAGATATTAAGTATAAAACACTTTTGCTTATTTTTCTTCCACTGTTTGGCTTTTATTTATTTCATAGCTCAAAAGTACTTATCCCAAGATAGCGAGAAGGAAATTAATAAATTTTGCTCCTTATAAAAGCAATTTTATCATAGAGAAATTTAAAACTATTATTCAGTGTCAGTTCTGGGAACCATCTTTTCAGAATTCTTCTTTCCCTCAGCACATTTGATAGCCAAGTGCTTATTCTGCTGTCACTGTGTTAGGGTCTTCCCGGAGGATAATCAGCAGTGCGTGTTAAGGGCTGTTGTCAGGGATTTCCTCAGGGACGAGCCCTGAAGATTCCCTCTTACATCAGTAAGGGTGGCCATAAAACACAAAAGCTTCCATGTAATAAGCTGAGATAAGAATATTTTGACAAAAAAATTAAATGTAAAGAATTCAATAGATAATTTATGAAAAACAACACTTCTCCTTTTGGTTGAATATAGCTCAGTAAACATACTATTTGGTATATATCTTAAAAGAACATTTTAAAATGATCCCAAAATGTTTATAACCATATATTCTACATGATTTATACCAGGGTTGAGAAGATTTGTTGCCTATTTTTTTCCCTGGATATGAGATAATGCTAACCACTCCTCACTAATTATCTCTTCATAATTAACTGTCATTCTCAACTGGGATGAGTTGATCTTTTCCCTGCACTGTTCTTATCATGATAATTATCTATGCCCAAATCAGTGGTTGTTTCATTAAACAGATGGCTAAACTGTCACATGAAGCTTTTGGAGTTTAAAAAGTCACATTTTAATTGGGGACTTAAGATGTGATTGCTGTTGGCACAATGTAAATGTGGCTTTCCTTATACATACATGTGAAATTTACCACCATGCCAACAAACTATTCCAATTTTTGGTCTTAAAACCATAAACTAAACAATGTTAGAGTCCTCTGAACTTCTGCTGTACATTTAAGATGCTTCAGGGTTTTTTACAATTATAAAAAAGTAAAAAGAAATCAAGAATGTAAGATTCTGTTCATGGGTTAATATGGCGATGCTCTCCAGACTCTAGTGTCTAACTATAACTTAAATGAGTATTAG